ATTTGCATTTAGTATTCTTAAATAATACTATATATACATAGTTTATATATCTGTTTATTATATAAGATTTTTTACATTTTAACTATTATTTATTATACAAATTTGAATATTGATTTAGAGTGGCTAAATTGACTGATCATTTCTACATGCTCGGAATGATTCATTTGTTTCGCTAAAATTACTTAGGAATGCGGGAGGCTTCGTTACCATGGTTACGTAACAGAAATATTTGCGGCTGGTTTCTTGTTGCCGATTAAATAAAAAAAACATGAAAACGAGATATCTCGTGACCCGTCCGCAACGTTCAATTTGCTAAAAACGAGATATCTCGTGAGCCGTCCGCAATGTGTTAATATTATTATATTTCGTAAAACTTCATGTTTTCTTTCAAATAAAACCGTGGCACCCAGGGCAAGACGCGCTAAACTTCCGTGGCAGTCAATGGTTAACACGTTGAATGCCACGCCGGTTTTACAGAAATTGTCCGTGGCGCCACGATGAATTTTCTTTTATGTGATACATATAATGTTCAAATATTATCTGCAATAGATAAGTTTACAGTGTATAACCATGTTTGACATGTTAATTGCGATAAGGGTCACTGTTTGAATCGACGATGGTAATAATACCAAATTTTAGATATTGACATTTGTTTGAAATTATATATATTTCTATCAATTTGGGCGCGCCGGTCACCGGTGGCCCCCATAGCGTCACCGCCAAGTTAAGTGCTGGTCACCGATGACCCCCGTGGCATTCAACGTGTTAAATTGTAATTTTAACAAAAACGAAAACATGTTCTCAAATTTCAAGATGTTTCGAATATTTGGCAGCGAATTCTACACAAAGGTGTTTACATTGTTGTAAAAATAAGATTAGAAAAGAATCGTGATATTGGTGTTCGACTTGCAAAGTNTGGCCCCCATAGCGTCACCGCCAAGTTAAGTGCTGGTCACCGATGACCCCCGTGGCATTCAACGTGTTAAATTGTAATTTTAACAAAAACGAAAACATGTTCTCAAATTTCAAGATGTTTCGAATATTTGGCAGCGAATTCTACACAAAGGTGTTTACATTGTTGTAAAAATAAGATTAGAAAAGAATCGTGATATTGGTGTTCGACTTGCAAAGTGTCATTATGTATCGTTCCTTGCTTTGCTGGATACCACTCTACAGCAGGAATTTGAATTTTTAACTTTTATAAATATTTGATTTTTCCCCTGCGTTTTTCGTTTATCATGTATATGGTGTATGTTAATGTTAAGTGACGAGTATACTCGTCATGGAGAAATGGCAATATTTTGTGACACGACGAGTATACTCGTCGCGCGTAAGAAGCAGCGACCATTGGCTATTTAAATTGTAATTTTAAGGGAAACAAAAATATATTCTCAAATTTCAAGATGTTTCGAATATTTTGAGGCCGATCCTGCACGAAGTTGTTTACATTGTTATAAAAATAAAATTAGAAAAGAATCACGGTATTGGTGTTCGACGTGCAAAGTGTCATTATATATTGTTCCTTGCTTTGCTAATTATCACTCTCTCTACAGCAGCAACTTGAATTTTTAACTTTTATAAGTATTCGATTATCCCTGAGTTTTTCGTTTATCATGTATATGGTATATGTTAACGTCAAGTGAATAAGTAAATATTAGTAATAAAATTGTTAATTTTATCAAATAAAACCGTCTTTTTGATCCAATATTTTAACAGCGACACTTACTCTGTGTTCGACGAATATACTCGTCTTTGCTTGATTCTCGTGGCACATGTAGATGCGCGCTCTAAAAAAGAGGCGTCACAGCTAACTGGTTAATAGACTGCGGACTTTTATGCGAAATAAAAATTGTCCTCGGTAATTTACGAGATACAGGAGTTACGTAGATATTTATTTCGTTCCCTTAATCATTTGAACAAGTTGAAAAGAATTTGATGTATAAGATCGAATTCAAATTGCCAAATTTCTCGAAGATTTTTACCGTTTTGAATTCGATCTAGCCTTGTTTTGTCGTGAACGCACAAAATCCGCAGTCTAATCGTTAATGTAAGTAAATAAATAAAGTAAATAATACTTTTTAACAAAGTTTCAAAATCGTATATCCGACATTAACAACAAATGTTAAATGCAAATTGAAAGACCGTACTTCGATGAGACATATTTCAACTTATTTCGATATCTTTTTTTTTTGTTCTTCTTCCTTTTTTTTCTTTGTTCGTGCTCGTGCGATTGCTATATAAAAATCTCTCTATTTGTCATTGCTTTTCCCGTAACGAAGGGTTTTTCTACATGAATAAATCATTATTATATTGACACAAGAGTCGAGGATATGCTCCGCCGCGACGCTAAAATGTACAGAATTAGAGCGTTACACTTTTCGAACGCGAATCGAATCGATTTCTAAATATAAATACGGCACCACGGTATATAGAAAATCTCTCTGAATACGTTCGCTACCAGAATTTTTATCCACCGATCTCTGTAACTGCAGAATTCTATTGCATACCAAAACGCGACGCAGGAAACTCATTGGTTTCCCGAGCATCGTGCTGTATATGTATCTAGACCGCAAATCTTTATGCAATCTTTTTTAGTACACTTTTGCACGCGTTTCTAAGCACATTACGAAGCCGTAAAGATCCGGTGCCTGCTTACGACTTTAACGCGTTTACCACCGCGTTAGTCGTGCAAAGATGATACGATCGCATGTTCGGACTTCGAAATGGCTCTCCGTGCGTCGAGGCTTATTGCCAGTTACATTGGCGACAACCGAAATAGCAATAAGACTGCAAGAAATATTTTCAAAAACACACGTTTCGGAAAAATTGTTAAACAAAGCTCGGAATTGTTTCGAACATCGCCAACGGCACGGTCGTGAGAATGGTCCGCCGTCCGAGGGTTAAAGAATGAATTCATATTTTCATAACTAATAAATTCAACGGACTGCGGACCGTGTCGTTCGAATGGATTAGAATCATAGCGAGTTAAGTGATATTTTTCTCATTGCGAGAAAGAAGGAGCGTTATCGTTTACTAACACGAGTATTGTTTCCTCGTGAAAATCGTGAAGATAATTTAGAGTTCACTCATGGTAACCGTATACAGTAATGTCTCCCTAATTGACGCTCAGATTGTGCGCAAAAATAGACAATTTGGGACGAGGAGATACGATTATTTCGAGTCTCGCGGCTCGTTTTTTATAGTTGTTGACAATCGATAATCATAAAAAGAACGAGCCACAAGGCTCGAACAATCGTATCTCCTCTTCCAAAATTGTCCATTTTTGTGAACAATCCAAGTGTCAATTAGAGAGACATTACCGTAATTGATTTCACTTGTCTTTTGAACATTTTGCCACGTACAGATTAACCAGTTAGCTGTGGCGCCTCCGTTTCAGAGCGCGCACCTAGATGTGTCGCGAGGATCAAGCGACGACGAGTATACTCGTCGAACACAATGTAACTGTCGCTGTAGAAATATTGGGTCAAAAAGACGGTTTCATTTGGTAAAATTAACAATTTTATTACTAATATTTACTTATTCACTTGACGTTAACATATACCATATACATGATAAACGAAAAACTCAGGGATAATCGAATACTTATAAAAGTTAAAAATTCAAATTGCTGCTGTAGAGAGAGTGGTATAAATACGCAAGGAACAATATATAATGGCACTTTGCACGTCGAACACCAATACCGTGATTCTTTTCTAATTTTATTTTTATAACAATGTAAACAACTTCGTGCAGGATCGGCCTCAAAATATTCGAAACATCTTGAAATTTGAGAATATATTTTTGTTTCCCTTAAAATTACAATTTAAATAGCCAATGGTCGCTGCTTCTTACGCGCGACGAGTATACTCGTCGTGTCACAAAATATTGCCATTTCTCCATGACGAGTAT